AGCTCACTACTCCATCTCAGATGGCATACATGCAATAATGTACTTGAAAGCAAGGCTCAGGAAGTGGGAGAGATTGAGAAATCTGTGCAACTATTTCCAATAGGTGTACAATAATAAATGCTCATCAGATTTTGTTAAATCTCTGAATGTAACACAGGAATTCAAACAGGGGAATTGTTTTTTGTCTCATGACTTCCTATGTGGAGCTATAAATATTACTTTACAATTCATTTTTATCTCCACAGTTCTCCACAATCACAGGTAGCCCTCTGCCTCCTACTGAAGAATTGGACTGCAGGAACAGAGACGGCTGGGCTAGAGGTAGCACATGGTGATTTGGGCACCTGTCTGGGGAAACCAAGGTGCTGGCTCTGAGATCTTGGAGTATTTTTGCTCCCTGCTGCCTTCTGTATCCATTTGGTCAGTGGTGGCCAATGGGAAATGCTTTCCTCAGAAAGATCTGCCTCAGGAAATTAGGGACAGTAAAGTTGCAGAGATGGTTTGGTCCATTTTCATACTTGTACTTCAAACAGGTCATGCAGCATGTGGGAAAGAGCAGGGAAGCACCAAGTTTTCAAAGACTCTAAGTATTTCTTTAGGATATACAACTGAAAGCCTTTTATAAAGTACTTTCATAATTATACAGTACTATGGCCTGTGGTTAAAAAAAATCGCATGGATATTACCAGCCCCAACTGGTCTGGGGTGAGGCGGGAGTTTTGTGGGGAAGATGACAGAGAGCTTCTGCTGAGGAGGGTGCAGGTCAGCCAGCAGACAGGAGTTTCCCCCCATGCTCTGCTTGGCCACACCATCTCCCTGGAGTAAACATCCTGCTGAGGACACCTTCTTGCAGTTTCTCAGCTAAGTGCAAAGCCAAATTCCTGGCAGTAATTGTTAAGGATAGGAAGGGAGGGTGCTAAGAGGATGGAGCCAGGCTCTTCTCAGTGGTGCTGAGCAATAGGACAGAAGGCAATGGGCAGAACCACAATGTTGCTAGGGTTGAAAGGGACCTCTAGACCAAGATCATCTACACCAACCTTTCTGCCAAGGCAGGATCAGCTGGAGTAGGTTACACAGAAATGTGTGCAGGTGTGTTTGAAATGTCTCCAGAGAGGGAGACTCCACAAACTCTCTGTCACCCTCAAGGTAAAGAAGTTCTTCCTCATCTTGAGATGAAGCTTCTTGTGTTTTACTTTATGGCCACTGCTCCTCATCCTGTCACTGGCCACCACTGAAAGGAGTCTGGCACCATCCTCTTGGCATGTGCCTTGGAGATATTTACGTGCATTAATGAGATCCCTTCTTCAGTCTTCTCTTCAACAGACTAAAGAGCTACAGCTCCCACAGTCTCTCCTCATGAGGGAGATGCTCCAGACCCTAAATTCTCTTTGTGGCCCTCCTCTGGACTCTCTCCAGAACCTCCTTGTCTTTTTTGTCGTGAGGATCCTAGACCTGGACACACCACTTCAGATGTGGCTGCACTGAGGCCCAGTAGAGGGTGAGGATCACCTCCCTTGACCTGCTGGCCAAATTCTTTGCAATGCATTTCAGGATCCCACACAAGGAAACCCCAGCCACAAGGATGCATTGCCAGCTCATGTCAGCTTGTCACCCACCAGCACTGCGTCTTTCTTTATGTGCAGGTGACTACACATGTAGGTTGCTGTGGTGGTTTGACCAGGAAGGAGTGGGAATTCTGGGATGCTGTGGTCAAACCAATGGATGTTTGGAGTTTGATACTGACACCTGGTGTAGCCAGTGGGGTTTGGACACACCTCCGAGAATACACAGGGGTTAAAAAGCAGGGCTCTGCCCCTGGCAGGCTCTCTTGGGACATCGCGGCGAAGAGGTCAGATCTCCCCCCCCCCGTCCAGCCGCTGCTGCTGGGCGGGGGAGGGGCAGCCACGTGGTAGGCCCTGGGCCTGGACAGAGATGGGAGGTGAGGAGGCCCTCGAGGATGGAAGGGTGGAAGACCCCAGGGAGTCAGCCCTCGGGCAGCCATTCCACCCCCCCCCCAGGAGAGAGAGAGAGAGAGCCGGCGACACCGAATGTGATAGCAGCCGGCCCAGGAGGAGAAGGGGGTGGGGAAGAGTGCCCGGCCGGAGCGGCAGCGTGTGTGGGAGTGCCGCAGCTCCGGGACAGAGACTGAAAGTTTTAACCCCTTTCTTTCATGATTGGGGCCTTGCAAAAATGCTAATCCTCCTCGAAGCTGAATAAGAAGGGAGATAAGAGATGAGATGAGACAAGGACCTGGCCCGAAGAACGTGGAGATGATTGAATGGGGAGAGATGATTTGGAGTGGCCTTTTGGCTGGACTTTTCTTGTGGCCATGGACTCAGTTGTTCCTGTGACACAGAGACTGCACTTAGGGGGAAGCAGTGGCTCAGAACCAGGAGGGTTCATCGTGAGGACCCCCCGGCCCCAGGGGGTTGGAAAAATATGGGGGGGACAGATGTCCCAAAGCAGAGACTGTGCCTTTTTGGAGTGAGACAAGGCATCCTTGAAAGACAACCCTAAAAGCAGCTCTGGCCATGCGCAGTGGTGAGAGCACTGGGCATGGAAGGAAGATGTCACAAGCGGCAAAAGGACTTTTTCCGGGCGGTGCCGAAGTGACAGGGAAGCACACGAGGTTTCAGTGTGTTTCCAGGGGAAGCCTATGGAACAAGAAGGACTCCTTTCCTCTTCATGAACTGAAGTTTGAGTATACTAAAGTGTGGTGCCAGGCTGGGCAGTTGGTGTTTTGGGAGAATGTATCGGATTGGGAAAGTCAGGTAGTGGGGAGGAGGAAAGTGGTTTTTGTAAGGTTTTCAATTTTTTTTTCTTTTCCTTATAGTTTTTCCCTATTTCCCTGTAGTTTAGGTAATAAAGTGTTCTTTATGTTTAAGCTAAAGCCTGTTTTGCTTATTCCTGGTCACATCTCACAGCAGACACCAGGGTGAGAGCATTTTCATGGGGGGCACTGGCTCTGTGCCAGGCTCAAACCATGACAGTTGCCCAGAGAGGGTGTGGAATCTCCCTCACTGGAGATATCCAAGAATCGTCTGGACTTGATCCTGTGCAATACAGTCTAGCGGACCTTCCTTGAGCAGGGAGGTTGGACCTACTGTGGTCCCATCCAACCTTACCCATTCTGTAATTCTGTGATAATTCTGGTTAAATTCCAGTCCTGGTAATTGCATTTTACCTGAAGGAATTCCTGCTGCTGATTCACCTGTGAAAGCCACAGTGGTCCTAGTCAGAGCCACCCAGGGTTGTCTCAACAGGCTGGGTAACTGGCTTTGGGATGGGGCTCTTTCTTGCTGAATTGCAGGGATTCTTCCTGGTGTGTTTTGTGTGTGATTTAGACATTTACTAGGTCAGGGAGACTGAGAGAAACTGAACAGACTGTTTAGTTGTTGGCATGGTCACAGGAGAGAGAAGAAACTTGTGCTCTATTTTCTGAGTCATTTGAGTCTCTGGAGCACATCTAGGACCCAGATACCTTCTCTGTCAAATATAGGTACTAAGAGTGCTTAGATCACTATCTCTTTGCTCCTGTAGGTGTCCAGATGTAAAGTTTTAGGTACTTTGAGGCAGTAGGAACAGGGTGGGAAATTGTGAATCAAATTCTGCGCTAACAGGACTCTCAGGCTGCAGAGCAGTGCCTTACTCTTTGTGCAAGAGATCCTAGAAAATAAGGTACTGCACAAGAAAGCACTGCAGCTAGCAAAAAAAATAAAGGATTTCAGGTGTAGAGATTATGATGGCCAGTCAAAAACAGGGTGTCTGAGTTCTCTTGCTATGTTTAATTCAAAAAGGGGTATCCCTATTAAAAAAAATCCTTATATTTTTGTGGTTAGGACCCTCCTAAAATGTGTACATTTGAATTACCTTGGAATAATGAATTTAAGTTTATTCCCTGCTTGCATCTCAGGCAGGTGTTCAGAACACTTCATTTTCAGGGTTACCAGACTAGGTCCTCCCTGATACAAGGGAGGGATACCTTGCACATGAATGTCAGCATGGCTTAAAGGCAGACCAGGCACATAACACCATTGCAGTGCCTGATGGTAGGGGTGTGTCTTGCACAAAAGGACACATATATGGAGAACCTGTAGCCTGGAGAACCTTACCATTGCTGGAAGAGATGCAGACCTGGTGCCCCCTTGATACTTTGCTGGTGAGCAGAGGTTTGGAGATGTCAGAATTGGTGATTTTTCATAACCTATCCACGGCATGCTTGAGTAAATAGTGCAAGGAGTCTTCCATTATGTAAACTCATAGGAAGGCTTTTCTTTGCAGCTCCTTTGGAGCAGATCAAAACCCTTTGCTTTCTAAAATAAACTGTTCCTAGTGTCAAGCTGGCAAAAGAATAAGAGCAACCTCAGTCCACATTTTCTTCTAACTTTCCCAAACAGACGTTAAATAAAACACCCTTTACTAAACATTAGGTAGGATTTTTCCTTTGATGACTCTATGCTCCCAAAAGAGAGCTCAAATCCAGGAAACATGAGGAAAGATTCAGCAACTTGAAGGGCGCAGATTTCATTGTTATTGTTTGCCAGTGAAAGAACAACAATGCATAAGAAAACATGTATACTAAATAATGCTAATTGCATTATAAAGAGCACCAGGCATCCTATAAAAACTTGTGCCTAAATGTGTCTGTAACAATTTGTCAGCAAATGATCTTCATGCAAAAGAGCCAAAGCAATTAGCTGGGGGCTGGCTAAGCTCTGCACTCCTTTCACATGCTGTGTAGTAAAACAGACCACCACCAAAAAAAAAAAAAAAAACATCCTGTATATCTCAAAATGCTAGGTCAGTGGTTCAGCTGTTTCACTAGAGTCTTTTCTGTGTTAATTTGCCATATTTTAGAAAGCATGTTACACATTATTCATTATTTTACCCTCTCTTCTTTCACTGCCCTGCTATGGTTTGGCTACATGTGCCTAAGAGTAGAAGAATTTCCATTCTCTAGAACTGAATCAACAAATAAGTTTCACCTGAAAGTGGACATATTATTCTCCAGGTTAAGGATGATTTTTATTTATTTACATTTTCAAGCTTCTTTGACCAACAGGTAAGTATTGTGACAATCAAGTGACAATTGAATAACATTGACTTACCCCACCTGTTTCAGTTTAGTTTTTATGATTTTAAGTTAGTGCTTTCATTTAATCTAACCTGAACACCACCATCTGATTTTGAAGATATCAAGAGAAGAGTAAATGGCAGGTATACAAGTATAGAAGAGTATAATGGCAGGTATTTTCCCTCTTAAGAGGTGTTGTAATTTTATGCACTAGGATAACACCTGTGGATCAAGCCACCCTGAGCTTTGGAAACTGCAGACTGGGAGTACTGTGAAGATGTGACTACAGATTCGCTTATACTTCTTTCCAAGAAAATGTATGTAAGTTATAGTGGCTGCCTTGTGTTTTTATAGGCTGGAACTGCGTTATTCATGGGATGTGGAGTACAACGTTGATTTTGTGTTCTGACTCTTCAATTCTTCTGTAAATGCAGAAAGAGGAGAAAGCAATTTGGCTCCTGCTTTTCACAGATGGGAAGATATGGTCTTTGATCTTAATGCTAGAACTAGTAATCAAATGTTGGTTCCCTGGCTTTTAATGTGTGAATGAGTTGAAAGATGCTCTTGACTAGGCTAACAAGCCATGTGCAGTGAGTGAATGATGCTTTGTGTAGCTCATTCTTGACACATTTATGATATAAAACAAATGTATGAAGGTCTTTTGATCCGTGAGCTAAGGCTGCCTATGGTGACAGAGACAAGGCAGGAGTATTTGGAGGTTTTGTAAAGTATCCACATGCACTGTTGTCTCCCTGCCTCTACCCTCATTTTGCTTAACTTTCTCTTTGTTATGTACAGTGCTTTCTGCTGGAATAATGTTAATAGTCACTCCATGTGAGCTTCACTATTACACCTCCCCTGAGCGGAAGTAGGGGGCATGAAATCTTTTTAGACCTATGGTGTCTACATTTCGGCTTGGGAAAGGACAGGGCAGCTCTTATGTCCATACAGCTGCACAAAACCTGCTTGTTTCCTCTTTATCAATAAACAGCACCAAGTGCTCAAAGAAATTCAGCAGCTGTATTTTGCTTGGAATTATATGTGAAGGAGGATCCTCCTTCTTGTCATTTTATTTATCATTAACAGCCATTTTAATTTCTTCCCAGCGGCAATTATACTGATATCACCACATCTAAATCAGAAATGACACTGTAGTGGTTATATTATGTTGACTGGGCATCACCTAATTTTTAAGTGGCATTCTTGCCCCATCATTGTGATTGTATCCCTTTCTAATAAGTAATATAAGAAAAGATCTACATAATGGGAAAACATACATATTAATATATTCCATGACAAACATGTTAACTTTACATATTAATCATGGTAAATAGAAGTCATGTTTTACATTTTTCCTCTTCAGCACACTATTCTCTTGACAGCTTGCTTTCCCTCTGGTTCTATTCTTTTCTGGTGTACATTCCACTGCCTCTGGTCACTCTGTTAGTTGCAGAAGGAGAAGGCAGTTCTAAAAGGAAAAAAGGGAAAACAATGTTACTGGATAACGTAATATTGCTGCTCTCCTCACTGCATTCAGGTCTGCATGAAGGGACTCAAATATGTGCAATAAACATATGTGTGTGATAATGAGATTGTTGGTGGAAAGTCATCTTGAAAAGACAAGGAGCAATTAAGCTTGCTTACTTATACAAGTTAGAATGACAAGATGCCACTGCTGGTCCCGCTCATCCATATAATAGGGTTCTCCTTCCCTGCTTAGCTGTATTGGGAGAAGCATTTCCTGTCAAACCTCTGCCATGACTCCACCATAAAGCAATCTGCCTTTCTGCCTTTCATACACCATTCATTCTCACACTTGCATCACTGTCCTGATTTCAACTGAGTGCCTGCTAGCAAGCACCTGTATTAGAATAATTTAAGAATTCAATTCAAAGCCTTCATATAACTGAGTATTTATTTGTATTGGTGTACTCTCTCGTCCAATTTTAATTGAATACTTAAAGATGTCACTGGGGAGATGTGCAGGTCGTTCACAAATGCTTAATAATGCGATGTGTGGAGTCAACAAATAATGCACCTTTCTTTTGCTATCTTGAAGATTTAGATAGGATATCTTGGATGCCATTGACAAGGAGAGAAGTGTGAACAATAGGAACATATGATAGTGTTAGATAACAATAGCTATCCTTATGCATCTTGAATTGAATGATGAAGCCATCAATTAGAGAAATAGCCCTCTGAGTATATATCATCAACAAGATGAATACCAGTACATTGCATTTCTGGATGGAGATCTCAGTGATCTGTAATTCAGAAAGGCAGTGAATAGTATACACAGTCAAACTAATTCTATTACTTTGAAAGTCAGAAATGTTTTGACCATGTTCTTTTTGGTTTTGTGGTTTACGGTTTTTTTAGCTACAAAACTCTTTCAGACACTGGAGGTATTTGTATTTTATATTAATAACAGTGCCTTCTCAGTTAGTATTAAGATGCCATTCTCCTTCACAGTAAGAATATTTAGTGGACACTTGCAGGGCTTAAAAGAGTATGAGGAGCATCTCTTTCTAGTTGCTTGTCTGGTTTCTTAATTAATTCTTAGACACAGGCATGGGGATCCATTCACACCCTGTGAACTCTGTTAGAGTCCTTCTCCATAACAAGGAGCAGACCTGGCATGCACTCTATGCCATAGCCTCAATTTTCAACCTAAATTCTCTCATGTTCTCTTTGGAATATCTGACGGTTTCTATCCCTTCTGCAACTCCCAGATTTGGGTGGGGTTTTTTGTTTTGCTTTGGTTTGGGGTTTTTTGTTGTTGTTGTTTTATTTAGTTTTGTTTTGTTGTTGTTTTTTTTTTTTTTAAATAATCATTAATATTGTTAATGGCAGAAAAGCAACAGAAAGAGTCAAAGAGACTGAAGCTGCATTATAACAAGTAAGGAATTCCCCGCTTTTACAGTTTCTGGTTATCAGTTTAATTTCTTTTACTTACATTTCAGATTGAGTAAATATTCCATGGCCAGGGCCAAAATTTTTCCTTGGATCTTTACCTATGTACCAAAATGTACAGCAGAGCAGCATTAGACAGTGAAAATGGCTCTGTAAGAGAATAAAGAAGAAACATGAGATAAGACTGTAATTAACAGAGTGTTTGACTAAGTATAAAATACAGTTAAAGAAATGAAAATACATTTTCATGACCATTATCTGTATTGTTATTATTTTTGGCCGAGGGTTTTTTTAACATGGACTCCTTTGTGCAAAATCAGTTTTATGATCTAAATGTTTAGGTCCTCTTCATGTTTGTTTGCTTGTATGCAGAAGGTCATTATATTAAAAAATGGATCCTACCAGGCATGCCAGTGATTGTTGCAGTGAAGAATTTCTAGAGCCTTAGGGGATAAAAAAACAGTCACTGCCTTTCCCAGAAGCATCTGAAAGGGCTAATGAAGTTTGGTGTATCTCAAATGTATTGACAATATATGGCCTGATGAGAGTAAGAAAAAGCTCAGGTCTTTCAGGATAACAGCAGGTAAAAGAAATTGCTATAGCTTTCCCCCTTCTAAACCTAATCAAATGAAACCACCTACAGGCCAATATGCTTCTTGAGTGCACTTTGCCCTGGAAATAGTGTTGTATTATCACCCAAAACATAAATAATGCAATAAAAGAAAATGGTTGATGTATTCTTAATGAGCTATTGTTAAGGCACCCTTCACTCTTATCTCTTTTCATAGCCTGATACAAAGAACGGCATCCAGTAGTCCAGTGTATTTTGAGTGCTGCTAGGAAAATACAAATGAGAAAACAGGTTTAATTACACTGCTTACTGCATCTAGAGGTCCATGTGGTTTGACCGGCTGTGTTAGGACACCCTGTAATTTGGAGGAATTCTCTGTGCACTGGCACCATAAATGTACTGCTAACAAAAGGATGGTTAATAATCTAAAGTTGGCTGTTAACATTGCTGGAGCTGGTGTCTATAATTTCAGTGAGTGACCTGAATGACTCTGCAATGAAGGACTGAAATGTCACTCTCCTCCTTTACTTTGTTTGCCTTGAGCAAAGACTGCTCCAGATTGTGTACATCCACCAAGGTCCAAATGATGAAAGGGCAGTGTGTAAGTGTGGATTCAAGGCTCAGCTAAATCTCCCTGCTCTGGCAGAACAGTAGGGGAACATGAGGAAGAGGGCATGGGTGAAAAATAGGATGATCTCCTCCGGAGCAGCTTCCACTGTGGCCATCTTTTCCCATCTCTGAGCAAGTAAGAGTGAGCCTGACTATAGGGACCTGGCTCTCCCTTGCTCTCTTAGCTGCCAGCCACGAGTAAATCAGACCTGATGCCTGTGGCTAAAGGCAAAGCAAATGGTTTCCATTACCCAGGTATTTATTTTGCACCTGCTGCTGTGACATCTGTGTAATAACAGTTACATATGACAAAAGGTAGTCTGACCTGACTTCGAGTATTTCATTGCTTTTTTTCATTGTGCTGAGTGAGCAAGCAAGCAGAGGACTCATAGTCTTAATGGGAGGTAGAATTGTAGAATCATTTAGGATAGAAAAGACCTTTAAGATCATCAAGGTGCCACAGACCATCCAACTGAGACACCTGCGGAGTGGCAAGTGCAAAGACCTTTGCTGTCAGGAATCTTAAACCCTTGTTTCCGATGTGCCTCGTTGGTACAGCTCAGATGCAGTAAAGGAGTAAAATACTATCAGTAAATTTCAGAAAGTTCAGTATTTGCATTTCATTTGGAAACCTATGACATTTTGGCATATTTTCACTGGAAGGCCAGAGCAAGGCTGATTGAAGATCAGTGTCGGCATTAAAATATACAAGGTATGGAGAGCTGGTGTGCTTCAGAGCAAAGCCAGCCTGCCAGGCACAGAACCAGGGCAACCCTGGGACAGAGAATAGGACTGTTGGTGTTTTTTTTTAAATACAGCATTGAACAAAGAGATTAAGTCACCCACAAGACTCTGAAACAGTATCTTGGAGTGATACAGGCTCTTAGAGCAAATGTGCTTGTCTTCAGAGCTTGGTTCATCCTGCCTGATGTACAAGTGTCAGGACTGGGGGTTGTTCAACCTTTCCACTTACAGCGTGGCAGATAGGAAAGCACTGGAACAGCACCATTCTCTGTGTTCTCTCTGGTACAGTACAGCTGGTTTTCAAGGACCAAGAAACTTTTCCATCATTTGGATACGCATGGGTGTCAGTTGTACTCTGGCAAAATTATGACGAGAAGAGCCAAAAAAATCTAAGCCTGAATGACCATTCCCCTCCAGGCAACTTGAAGGCACTATCAATATTTTGTTTACTGAAAATATTAAAAGGTACTGCTGCCATTTATATATGACTGGTAAAGTTCTGACTATTTCTGGAAGCAAAGAAATAATTGCTTTCACCTTCCCACCTTACATTGTCTGTAATTAGTGGAAAATGTGACATAATGCCAGGAAGATGGAAGAAAATAATCTAGAAAGCAAGGACACTGGCATTAGTGCTCACTGCAGTGTATTTGTAAAGCACTTCTATTAGATTTAGGACTGTATCTGATTTACATGGTGGGGAAAAAGCCTGAACTCATCTCAGGTGAAGCACAGACTTTGGCTTTCCTCCACTCACCACTATCAACATCCTTTTTTTGCCCCTGCTAGATACTACCCTCATCTCTACAGCATCTTTTATCCACAGCACACTACTCATCTTACAGGGTTCTACTTCATACCATGTGTCCCAATGCTGAAATGTTTTGTATTGCTACAATTTCAAGTTTGTGGAAAAGGACAAATATTTGGCCCTTTCCTCTTTGCACCATGATGTGCATTTTGTGACTGCCGAACATCGCAGCTTTTCACAAACAAGAAAGGAAGAAATGCCAAAGAAGTTGCTTCATCACATTAACAGAATAAGAGACACTGCAAATTAAATCACACAGGTGGAAAAGCACCTTGGTGGGTCGTTTTGTTTTTTTTTTTTTTTCTTGTGTAGCTAGAAAAGATCTCACATGTTGTAAAGAAAAATTGTCTGTTTCTGTGGAAAATGAAAAATGTATATATTTGCCATAAATTCACTTAAATTTTGTTGCAGAGCATATAGGGAAAGCTCTGTGCTTTCTTAGGTTTACATATATTACAAGACAATTTGACCTGCCCCTGCTGAAAAGGAAGAGAAAAACCTGAAACTTCCAGCAGCCTCCCTCTCTATTTTTTGCACCCTTTATTTTTTGTTCGGAGTAGGGAGGGAAGCAGAGAGAAAGAGGGAGAAGGGATGGAAAATGGAGCTATCGAGTAAGTCAAGACTGCAGCTTACAGGAGTGAGAGGAAAAGCTGTTTTTTTGAACTAGAATGGACAATAATCTGTCCTTCATAGTCCAATTCATTTAGAGAACACACAGGAACTGGAGAGTTGTCTTTTTAGCACTTTCTGCAGAGCAAGCCTTGCTTTGCCACTGCCCATCATCTGAGAGCCCAGAGCTCGCAAAGCTGCTGCCATTGTCACCATAGCTCTTACAGCATTATTGACTGAAAACACTGAATTTTTGCATTGACTGAACTGAATTTCTCAAGACTTTGGGAGTTATCTGGAGGCCCTGGGAAATTTCACTACAACTTGAGGTTAGGCAGGTCTGTGCATTAAAACTGTTTTTTCCAGCAGCATGAACACACACACACACACACACAGAAACAAGAGCCAGGTTCTCCTCAGAGACTGTTTTTACACTGTTTCGAGTGTGTTATTCTTGCTCCTCATTTACATTCCCAGGAGAGGAAACTGACTCAATCTCTCTCTTATTTGTAGGCACTTGTGATAGCAGGTTGAGGTTTCGCAGCTCAGTAAGAAGTCAAATGATCCAGAAACTGACTTTGCACCTTGATTACTGAGGATACAGGAAAAAGAATGTATTTAATCCACTTTCATCTGGCTACTCTTGCCACACCCTATGCGTACCTTATGTTGCTTGTATGCAGGGGTTATTTTGGAAGTAACACAAACCAAGGAGAAACGCTCATTAGGGCTTCATTGAGGGATTACACACTGCTGTCAAGGGGCAAATAAGCTAGGCATTTTCAGCATTATTCTTGTTTAATGTTATGAAATGGCCTTCAAAACTCTGGATGCAAATAAAACTTGCCAATAGGCTGCCAGGAACAGTCATGCCAATAATGCCATGCCAATGTGAATGAAGTTGGAGTGTTTTTCTTTGCAGCAATCAGACATGGCACACAATGCATTTCTGTGGAGTTCTCTTTCTTAGGTGGTTGAAATCACTTGGCTGGCAGCCTCATGCCTCCCAGCTCACCTGAGGCATGCTGTAATCAGCCAGAACCGTGCTGCATGTCATGTCTTACTGCTTCCAGAAAATATACAAATTTCCTTTCCTTCTATCCCTTTGTGAATGAGTCCCTTAGGGGTATGGTTTTAAGACAGCGCACAAGAAGCCTTTGCACAGATCCTCGTAACGCATAATGAGATTTGTGTGCCTGCTTACTTTCTCTGCAAATGAACCCTAGAAGAGCAGAAGTGACTTGGTCTGGCACTTGCTTGGTCCTTTTGACCTCCCTCTTGTGACATAAGATAAAGACTTTCCCCTCCTTCTCTTACAGAAAGCCTGGAGGGTAGGTTTTTATGATGTGCTGTCTGGTCTTGCAGTAAACAGAGACATTTCTTGAGGATTTTAGAGTCATCAGCTCCAGTTCTGAAGAAATATACAGTTGTTTAGCACTTTGTAGGATAAACTTGTCTTAAGAGTACAGGTGCAATAAGTCTGCATGTCCTGTGACAGAAGGCTTGAATGCAGAGTTTTTGTGTCAAAATGACATCAGAAAATGCTCTAAGTCCCAGAGAGGTAACTGCTTATGACAAGTAGAAAAGTCTCACCTGCAGAATAGGTGCCAAGAGCTCATGCTCTTTCCAAGGCTGTTTTGTTATTATTGGACCCTGCAGTATTCAGTGAAGTGGCTCAGTGAATATTCTCCTACAAAGACTCATGCAAGCTTCTTGCACACAGCCCATTTTTAATTTTTTTTTTTTTTGCAAGACCTACAAAAAAAGAGAGAAAGAACATGCTATCAAGCACCACCAAAACCTCTGGGCTGTTATGGATTGTGGGAAGGTTTCTTGCAGTCTGCCAGGATCCATGCTGAGTGCCTGGGGAGCTGAAAACTGCTCTTGTCCTGTGATAAGGGCTTTACATGAAGCAGGCTCTGCTGGAGGCACAACAACTTGTGTTGAACCAGCACTGCCAAAATGCCCCTTATACACAGCATCAACTGTAGTGACATAAAAAATTTTCCTGCCCTATAACCTAAGTAAAGAATGTGAGCTTAATGGGGAAATATACATTGAAAAGTATAACTGAGATAAGGACATTGTGTGCCTAGAACCAGCAGGCTGTACCTCACAGTTTCTCAAGTTTTGCCTTGGGCCTGGTCTAGATGTACTTCTGCACTAGTAAAACAAAGCAAGTGCAGTAAGTGTTTACCCCCTTTGAGGTTACCATTTCATCTGGTCTAATAAGATCCAGCTTTTATTTATGTGTGTAGCTGCGCCTGTGAGAGGCAGGAAGAACACACCAGCTGGGGAGGAAAAAGGAAAAAGAAAAAAAAAATATTCCCGGGTACCTACCCAAGGAGTTAATGCATTGGGGCATATGTGAAGGAGTTAAAACACTACGCAGGTACAGATCCTGTGGCAATTACAAATGTTATTGAAATAAAAACCAGAAACAGGAAGCCAAAAAACAGGTCCCTAAGGCAGGCATCTGTCTTAAATGATATCATTTGTCAAGTTTCCAGCATTTTGTGGTTGTGAACACAAAAAGAAGTTCTGTGTTACACTAAGGACATTACATACTCATTAGTCGGAATGTTCCTGAAGTACATAATACAGGATTTTCATTTAATAAGAAGCAGCTACTTGCAACTGCATTGCACATAAAATAAATTCTGGGCACGCTAATTGCCATTCAAGGATCTTCTACCTAATTTTTGACAGGTTTTTCTTCCCCTCCCCCCTTAGACTACACTGCATAGATTGTAAGCAGATTCTATTACTAAAGTTTCAAAATTTTTGGAGAATATTTTCTTATTTCTGAAATCTGAATTTCTTCAGTCATGAATTACGAAGGTTTTAATGCAGATATTAAAGAACAAAAGAAAAAAACCCAAGTTTTCTACAGGAACATTGTAGCAAGAAGTGGTGTAGTAAGAAGGCAAAAATACATACACATACATATACATATACACATACACATACACATACACATACACATACACATATCACATACACATACACATACACATACATATACATATACATATACATATACATGCGTGTCTCTTGGTACAATAACTGCCCAAGTAATCCCCCCTTCTTGAAGAACAAACCTAGTTTTAATTAATTGGTTTAGTTCCTCTATCTGAACACTATTAGTGCATTAGTTTTAACTAATATATAAGCTTCCCCCTCGCTGCCCTGCCAATGACCTTAAGCTTCACATGGTAGGAAAGCCACTTGCTGTAGAATAGAAAAGTAATTTATCCACCATGATTGTTCAGCCCTGGCCCCTCTGTAAAACAGCAACTGACAATTGTGCTGTGTTATGGATGGTACGTTTGTGGTGTGTAGAATAGTGTGCAGAGCATCAAACTCACTTCCCTGAACACTGCCGGCAGCATTTGAAAAGTGATCGTAGAGAGAAGCGACCACTTGCTGAGCGATGTTCCTCCATTTCCAAATTTTTTTTTCCAAGTAACTCCCCCCTTTTTTTTTTCTGAAAAGAAAGATCAGTGTTGTTTCTCAGCTTAAGAGCAGTATGTAGTTTTCCATTCATAAAAGTATGTCATAATAATAACAATGAAAAAAGAGGTTACATTGCTCTTATTTTACCTGGGATTTCCCTGCTTCTTTACACATTTCAGCATTTAGCATATTCCCTCAAAACATAATAAATTTCTATTCTGTAGCTTAAGGGATCCATCAGTTAAAATGTTAGTCTTTCATCTTTATTACCCTCCCATTAAAATGAAAGAAACCGGGACACACTTCAGTTTAGAAGAAGCAATTTAGTTGGTAATGTCCTTACTACTCAAGTCTTTACAAAGAGAGAAAGTGCATTATTGCTTATATTTCACACATCTATCTGCATAAGAAGCAACTAAAGCTTTCAGACACATATGATATTAAATTTAATAATATTCTTTGATTAGATTATTTTATTACAACATTTTCCCATTACTAGTCATTTCCCGTACACATTTACATTCATAAAACTGGGAGGTTTTTCTTTGTTTGTATGTGTTTATATGTATTCATAAGGCAAGGAAAAGATTTTCTGGTTTGCTATAGCTGTTAGACTCGAAAAGAACAGATTAATAACTAGCCACCACGTAGGACTAGGTTTTCTTGTACACTGCACCAGTAACCCTTTGCTATAATGAGGACACAAAGAGGCTCACATCAGGCTGCTCCTCTTCTTCATAACTCAAAAGCGTCACAGTGGCAATAGCCTCTAGTGCTATTTGTCTTTAGTGCAGTTGTGACACTTCGGCATGATCCATAATTTGGCAGCTATTTACCGTGACATTTCCCTTCAGTGCAGCCATAACATTCAGTGAAGCCATTATTTGGTTCCATTTACCATATAAATTGTATTGTCGTGCATGCATGCTAGCAGCTACATTAGGTACCTGAAAATGAGTAAATCTTGTAAAATAGATACTAACAGCTATTCAGCAGAGAAATTTCTTTACTCCTCAGACAGAAGTAGGAATATATATAATATCTGCAAACACTACTGCAAACTTTTCCTTGAGAGATTGCAATTATCTGTATTTACATGACACAGCAGTTATTCATATCAACTTACTAAATATACACTTTATGTGCATATACATTGCACACATTTGCACGCATACAAACATACAGCAAACTATTGCTTGGTAGAAACCCAACTTGATTCAAAAAGGTATTAGGAGAATCCAGCATAGCAATTAAGTAGGAAGCATATCTGTAAAATGTGCTGAGGGTTGCAAGCCAGGAGAGAGCGAGTGAGTACGTGTGTGTCCGTGTGCGCGTGCGTATGCACACATGTGACAGACTCAGGAAAAAAGCCAGCTCTTCATCTAGTTCTTTGTTGTTTTTCCATGGAAGCATATGTGTGTAGGGAAGGGAAATTCGGTTATTAGCCTCAGCAAACAATGCCAGATTCCTCTGTAGCAAATTCATTTAGAAAGGTAAAATTAGGATGTAGTGCTAGCAACCACATCTCAATGAGCTGCTATTATTAATAGTATTATTATTTAAATCCCTGCTCTCTACATATGGTATCCTTAGTACTTCCAAGGCAAATGTATTATTATTTTTAATCATTTAAGTCCCCACTGTGCACACAGCTTTTAATACACCTTTTTTGCAAGCATATTAAGTGTATTGTTATTAATCCCTTGCTGTGACTCTACAGTATTTCTTTTCCTTGTATGTTCAATGTCCTATCATCATTTAAACCTCTCAGTGTGTGCATGCCATATACATTTTCCGAGGCATCTAATATTTAAACATTATTTAAATCCATCATAGCTTACTTATTCAAAGGCAGCCATGCTCCCACAACTTTAAGTTTGCAGAATGTACTTTTAAATAAAGAGAAGTTGGGTTTTTTTCCCCCTGCTGCAAGACAAATTTATTACGAAACTCATCAAAAAGGCCTTATCTGCATGTTTAAGAAATACTCTTCACCCTCTCTGCATTGATAATGCTCTCTTACAGCAATGTGAAGCAGAGAAGTTGTATCTTTAAAAACAAAAATTACTTCTTCGTTCCATATTCATTCATGGAAGAGTTATCATGTTGACCCTAACCTACCCCTTCAGCTTAACATAAACATTTGATGAAAAAGACAAGCCCAATGACCATAGCCTGACCTAAACATCAGAAGGGCTACGAAATTTGTACACTGGCTATCCAAGTTATGCATACAACAAATGTAATCCTTTTATTAATGCTGTGATCAGTATGAAAGTGCTAAACAACAATCTGAAGCCAAAATTAAAATGAACAACATGTCATATCTGAATATATATGTGTGAACCCTCCAAAGGTCCCTCTCTTCTCCTGTTTTGATCAGTGAAGAAGCCTGGGGCAGTTGCATTATGCAATGTTATATATGAAGTAACATATTAAAAAGAAAGTAGAATGTATGTCCAAACAGAATCCAGTTACAGGAGGAATTTTCTATGACAAAAACATATGGAATTCACTGCCTCAGAAACACCAATCTATTGAACTGACAGTGATCAACACATCTGAAAGCTGGGCCACTTGGATGGCTTTGGCCTTTGACTGCAGGAATTTGATTTGAAAAAATTGTTACTCATGCAACTCCTCTGTACATATCACAGATGTAACCAATTGGTTTTTGGTTTTTTTTTTTCTTGTTTTGCCACAGTACATCCCAAACAACCTTGTTTCTTTACGATGCATTTAATGACCAAGGACTTCACTTTATCCCTGAGCAAGGAAAGACAACACATATGCCTAGGAATAAAATGCTGAGAACGTTGAATGCTCTGTATGGTCCTTGAGTGCTGGTATCCTTCTAGCATTCAGCTGGAAGGACAATATACCTTTCTAATAATGCAAAACTCAAACACAACACAATATTTTTATTATCAGAGATGAAAGAGGAAATATGTTTCTAACAGCAGATCTTAGTTAAAACAAAAATCATGGTGGCTTGATGTTCACTTGATGCTCTCTTGAGTAAGAGAGAAAAACGGTCACAAAGGCTCAATCCATTCCACCTTTACCCAAAATCACCAAAGTGAGACTAAACCTAGTAGTCAGGCACAGCCCAAGAGAGGGACAATTCTCCATTGTACACAATTCTTTATGATGCTAATGACATATGTACTAAAAATTTACATTAAGAATGCACTAAATCAAAATTAATAATATTTTTCTGTCTGCATTAATGAATAAAATCTATGTTTTCCTGTGTTACAATCAAAAATGGTGTGTACAGCCAGTCCTGAATAATGCCCTAAAATTAAGTTTACCCTGGATTTTTTCCTTCAAGCCCTAGCCATTATCAGTCTATCATTATATTTATTACAAGGCATATGATCTTAGGAAATTTCCATCTCTTCAACTAGATACAAATGAATGTAATTTCAAAAGATGTGGCAAAATTGACCTTTATGATCTTAAAAGTTTGCTATGGAAAAAAAGATGTAGAGCAAGCAGTTTCAAGTATTTTATTGTTCTGGAAAATATTATGCTTCTAGCTGGAATTCCCACTGTATGTAGCATTAATAATATTCACTAGGTGAAGAAGAATTTTTGAAACTTTACAAAACCCTTTAACTGAATCCACTGGAAAATCTATGGCTGAGCATCAGTACATGTACCAGGTATTGTGACTATGGACCTAAAATGGTCCTGCTGCTTGTAAGAGGGCTTCTGCAGAAGCACTATTTGGTAAAAGTAGAAGTCCCTTCCCATTTGAAGAATGATCAGTCAAATAACTCTAAAAAACAGAATATCTGAAAAAGAGCTAGTCACCAAGAAACATATAATTATGAATAAATGCCACAAATATTTAAATAGCTTTAAAAACTTTATTTTATCTTCAAAAAATATACAGGGCATGAACACACATGAACATGGCTCAAAATCCCATTCCAATAGCTGACTAAAGGGGAGACTGGACAATAAACAGTGGAAAATGAAAAGGCAACAAAATGAAAAGGCAACAAAATGAGACTACATTGCAACTGGTAGTTAAAGATTTAAAAGAAAATTGCGCAGTTGTTTATAGTTATGAAAGACAGGATTAAAAAAAAAAAAGTCAAGTTGCTTAATATTACTGACATGTCAGAATTGGAGGATAAATTTCCCTGTGTAACCAGTCAAGGAATATTACTATGATCCATGATGCAACTGAATTATGATTATCATGTTTGTGACAGAAAATCAAGAGCATTTTTTTCCTAGAAACTTCAAAAGATTAATAGAGCAACTCAAAGATACAATTCTTTACTTATTCTTGTTCTAACAATTTTATTTTTAAATCAGGGAATCAAAATTGCTGAAAGATTTTTTTTTCTGAGGTGAACTACAGATGAAGTCTTACCAAATCAGGCTGACAGACTAAATCTGCCTCTGCATCAAGACTTATTCTGTCAAGAACAATGTTCTTGTCTCATGCTAACCTAAGTGACAATATCAAACACAGGCCCATTATGTCCCTGCTACAGCCACTGATTTAAACACTTCTAAGAAAATAAAAACAAACAAACGAAAAGAACCCAGCAAACCCATCCCTTTTTATTAACACTTTAATGATGTTTTTTAATATAATATCCATTACTAAGCTTAAAAAAAGAAATTGTTTCTAGTAAATCTGAGGCATAAAGTGCCCATTTTCTCTCTTCTGATTTATATCATTGTTCTGTTTTTACAGCTTACTGTTGACAGAGTGAGGTAATTCAACTACAATTTTTCCAATGTTTTTTCCCATGTACATGTAATCTACAGCACGGAATACAGATTCCAAGCCAGTGAACTTGCCCTCAGGAGACATGTCTCCAAAGTCCACCTCGCAAACCAGGTCTCCTCTTTCATACATCTTGAGCAAATGCTGCAGAGCCATTTTGTAGTCAGAAAGGTAATGGTTCAAGAAGAAACCCCGGACGCTAGCAGACTTCTTCAATAGTTTTGCTGGCAATAACTCTGCTTTAATGGGCTGGAGGCCAGTGGGGTTTTGGTAGCCAGCGATAAACCCAATAACTATCAGGCGCCCTTTGATAGCCAAGGCATTGAGAGCCAAGTCAAACATCTTTCCTCCAACAGATTCATACACCACATCCACACCTTCGGGGTAGTCCTTCCTAAGCACAGATTCGACATTTTCAGTTTTGTAGTTGATGGTACGGTCACAGCCAATAGATTTCAGAAAGCCACCCTTTTCATCACTGGAGCAGGTTCCGATTACATGGCAGTTTGCCTTCTTTGCAAGCTGCACAGCGAACTGGCCTGTTCCTCCAGCTGCTGCTGTCACCAGAACCTTCTGGCCTTCAGACAGGTCTCCCAGCTCTTTCAAACTGAGGTATGCAGTTGCGCCACTTACCATTAAAGTGAGGAACTCGGGTTTCACTGAGGGTAGAGGGACTGCTTGTCTGGCTGGCACAACTGTGTACTCAGCAAAGGAACCTGCTTTCACGTAGGCCACAGCCTGACCCACGGAGTAATCTGCACTAGCACTGAGTCCTAATGCTACCACTTCACCGACACCTTCAAAGCCTATATCAAAGGGGGGTTTAACTGAGGCGTCATATCGACCAGCTGAGTAGTTTATATCAGATGCATTGATGCCGACAAATCTAGAAGAAAACAAAAATGTTTTAAGAGATTTACTCCTTACCAAGTTTTCATCGTATGAGAAACCTTATATTCAAATTTGTGGGATAAGTACAAGACTTGTTCTAATTATCTGTATATTTGAATAATGAGCAGACTCCAAAGATTACTTTCATCAGACTTCCATAGTTTCCATTCTGTTATTCTAGAATTACAGACAATTTTTCTAAACAAAAAGAAACAACAAGAAGCTGTAAAAAGTAAAACCCAAACCCAAAACAAAACAAAACAAAATCCCTTATATTTTCGTTAGGTCCACTTTACCAAGCTAAAGAAGTTGAAAATAAATCTGTAAAAGATTAAAGTGTGAAAATTAACTGACCACTTCATACAAGATTTCAAAACACAGAAGAATGAAACATGCAGAGCAGTAAATATGTGGATTCTGGCAACAAATTTATATTTTTGAATATAATAATACTGTTAATGACTAATGATCATATTAACTATCGATGTCATTTGCAAGGTCATGTTACTGTAGGCAAGTACTTTTTAATTGATGGAGTCACTGCAGCAAATTTGCCTTTTGATGTAGCTAATGTCAATGTTAAAATATTTTTCTTTATATAAATTACTTGCAACACATCAAAACAACCTTGCAGAGAAGGAGTAAAATTGTAAAACTGAATATCAAGTCCTACTGACCTCTAACAGGTGAAAATGGATGGCTTTTTTTTTTTTTAGAGAAAGATAAAGATATAACTCGAATAAGTGCTAGGAGATAATTCCTAAGACAAAGTTATGATCTAGCTCAAATACAAAGATCTTTTTTTAAAGTAACTATGTACACAGGCAAGAGAAGCGAGACTGGGGAAGGCTCTGCTAACTGGAAAATGTAAAAAAGAAACACATGAAACGGCACATGCCAGGACTGTTACTATGTGTGGATGTGACAGCCTAAAAGGTGTACTTGACACCATGCAAAAGCTGCAGAAGTAGGCAAACAGTGCACTATTCATTGTTGCAGTTAGCAACAAGCTCAGCTCGTATATGTGTGTAGTTTTAAATTGCTTGCATACAGAGCGGGGAGAACTAAAACCGCTTTGCTCCTTTTGATATTCTTCATTCTTTACAGCATGGGGAGCTTCAAACTTTCACCAACGTTTTGTATAAAAAGACACGTAAGCGTATATCCATGCATAAAATAGGCAAAAGTGTCTGTAGCTCTCCGTAATCCTGCCTTTAACTCGCCGCTCTGCCGCAACAAAAAATGCCTAAGTCTTGTCCGCAGATACAAAAAACCTTCTGTTATCCCGCTGTGCGGTGACTCCCGTACAAGAGTGCTAAAAGATGAATAAAAATTGGTAACGGAGTTGCAGCTTCCCGTGTCCCTCGGGCGCCAGGCGAGACGTGCCGGCGCTGCACCAGCCTCCTCCCGCTCTCACACCCCAACTTCTGTGGAGGGCAGCGTAGGGTGGGAGCCCGGTGAGAGCA